TCAAATTTCACGGACCGCTGAAGGACTTTATCTCGCAGAATGTCCTCGGGACGGAGGCGATCATGAAGCTGGGCGAGGAGATGAAGCACCTTAAGGTAAGAGCTGAGCATTTGAAAGATGTTTTTAAATAGTAAACTTCTTTCCCACCAGTCAATCGTCTACGTCTCGACCGCCTACGCCAACTGCAACCTGCTGGACATCGAGGAGAAGGTCTATCCGCTGTCGAAGCCGGCGCAAACGTTGATCGACGAGATTCTCGCCCGCGACAGCGACCGGACGCCCGCCGTGGGCGACCCCGAGCTGATGGGCCGCCCCAACTCCTACACCATGAGCAAGGCCATTGCCGAGAACTTGGTGCGGGAGAAGTACGCCGCCCACCTCCCGGTGGTCATCTGTCGGCCCTCCATTGTGACGCACAGCTTTAAAGAGCCCACCGAGGGTAGGGGGAAAAATTGGAATGATTTGCTTTGCAAACATTTTTTACATTTTTTATCTTTTCACTTTTCACGCTTCAGGCTGGTGCGACAGCATGAACGGCCTCGCCGGCACACTTCTTCTCGGTGGACTGGGCATTGCTCGCACCATGGAGAGTAAGTTTGGAAGCTGCTGTTTCAGTTGGAACAAAGCTCTCTGAACTAACCAAAAAACCTTCCTTTCTGTTCACCTAGTGGACTGCCACTTCAAGGCGGACATCATCCCCGTGGACTTTGTGGTCAACTCGCTGATCGTCGCCGCCTGGCACACCGCCACCCAGCCGCCCTCCGCGCGGCAGCTGGTGATGCACATCACCAGCGGCGTCCAGAATCCCATCACCTGGGGCCAGATACTCGACTTTAGCCGGCAGTCGGCGCTCCGGTCGCCCTCCATCAAGCTGGTCCGCCCCATTGCGCGCAACCCGGTCAGCGCCCGAGGGCCGCTCGGCAAGGCGAGCCACCTCTTCATCAAGTTCTTCTCGCACTACGTCTTCGCCTACCTCTTCGACCTCTTCCTCCTGGCCACCGGAAACAAGCGGCTGATGGTGAAGGTGACGGGGAAGATGCACCGGGCCTTTGACGTGCTGGAGCACTTCACCAACCACCAGTGGTGCTTCCGCTACCACCACTACGGAAAGGTCTTCGCCAAGCTGTCCCCCAAAGAGCGGGCGCTCTTTGAGTCCAACGTGGGCGTCATCGACTGGCCGGCGTACTGTGACGCCCTGACGGTTGGCTCCCGGCGGTACCTGCTCAATGAGGACGACTCGACGATTGAGGCGGGCCTGCGTCGGCAGCACTGGCTCACCGTCGCCTATCGAATCGTCGATGGCCTTCTGTACCTGTTTGGAACGGCGCTGGCAGTCTACTTCGGGGCGAGGATTTGGCGTGCCTGGTAATAATGGGCGAGAAGTCACTGGAGCTGCTTAGTAGTTGAACAAACCCTTGCTGCAAGTTTTGCCTAATTCTATAATTCACTATTTTCCACTTTTCTCACTTTTTCTCTTTCTCTCTCTCTCTCTCTCTCTCTCGCTCTCTCTCTCAACACTTCACACACCCACCGCAGTTCACACTAAACACACGGAAAATACATAGTTTTTCAATTTGCTGAGTAATCAAACACCTATGAGGCTACACATTTTTGCTAAAAAAGAACAGTACCCACTAGAACAAACACATTTCTTTTGTACACACACACCACACATACATTTTTACATGCTACACACCCACTCTCTTTCTCTCTCTCTATTTCTCTCTCTCTTTCTCTAAAATTATTTGGACATGTAAAACATTTAAAACATACAAAAGCACTTTTTTCTGTTATAATAAAAACCTTATTAACAAAAGGGACAATTGAACACTGTGACTATATTTCTTGTTCATCCTTCTGCCAATTACCAATGTTTATTAGAATTGGCATTGATTGCGATGGCGTATTAAAACGATACGGTTTTCTTTAGCTAAAACGCTAATCACAACTGTGCCTCGATTACCTGAGACAACTGTATCTTGTGCCGACTGTAGCAGTCAGTCACTTGGTTTTCTGTCAGATTTTAAAACAATAAACACAGGTCATTATGAACACACTAGCGAATTCCCTTTCTCTCTCTACTTCCATGCCACTGCTGCTAGTGCTGATGTCAAATTCTAAAAATTAAAGCACACAGTAATTTAGGGTGAGTGACCACAGTGCCGAGCAAAGTCCAATGAAACAGCAATTGCCAAACAGAGTGTGCATTTAATTGCTCGGAACGAACTCTGACTTTTTAGAAAACTACCGGCAGACACTGACTCATTTAAAACATAAACGCTCATCTGCAAATATGATCACTTTTTCTCTCATTCGTTTCCCTCTTTCTCTCTATCTCTCTTTGCCTGTTGCATCATTGGTTGCCATGTGTGAGCTGTTGCCCCGTTGATAGAATGCTAGCCAGACAGAGTTTGATGATCTCCCTCTTCTCCTGGCCAGTATGGCTGATTCACTTTCAAAACCTTCAGTTCATTTCAACTGAAAGCGCCCACCGCACAGCACACTCCTTCACAGTGAACCCCTGAAACTACTGAAAAGTTAGTTTAAGTCAATCTTTCTGCCATCTTTTCTCATCTTCATTTGGAGGACTATTTTGTCTTTCTGCACAAGAATAGCTTGAGCTTAGGTAAGTGAGCTACAGAAAAGATGCAGGGTTTTTTCTTCTAAGCTGCTCTTACTATTATTAATTAACTTTTAGTGCATTCATCCACACACACACACCCAACACCTGCCGTCAACAATGAACCGTCAACAGGTAGAGAAGACGACTCCGGAAAAGATCCCTCTTGGCTGCCTTGACACTGAAGGCACTGCCAGCGCTGCCAGCATTAAAGCAAAAGATGAACAGCTTAATCTTGATCTCTCTGTGAGCAAAGAGAACAACAACAACAACAAAGCTACACTGACTACCAATCAGAGCACTAATAACGGGATCCAACTTGAAGTTGTGACTGACACAGTGAATACCAGCAAATTCTTCCGCCCCTGGCTTAGTGCATCTCCCGTTCATCCCCTTCAGCAGCAACAGCAACAGCAGCAGCAGCCAAATAAGAAAGCGAAGCACCAGTGTGCGCAGTGCAGCAAGGAGTTCACCCACGCCTACGCCCTGAAAGAGCACGCCCACACTCACAGCGGAGCGCGGCCGTTAAGCTGCGAGGTCTGCGGAAAGGCCTTCGCCCAGCGGTCCACTCTGTCCACCCACCGACGAGTGCACAGCGGCGCCCGGCCGTACCCGTGCCCGCACTGCGAGTCTCGCTTCATCCAGCTGGCCCACCTGAAGAACCACCTGTGCACCCACACCGGCCAGTGGCCCTTCCGCTGTCAGCTCTGTGGCGCCCACTTCCCCCAGCGCTGCTCTCTCACCTATCACATGCGCTCTCACACCGGCGAGAAGCCGTACCAGTGTACCAAGTGCCCCAACAAGTTCATCGTCGCCAGCCTCCTCAAGCGACATATGCGCGTTCACTCTTCTCAGTAGGAAACGGTCGCCCCTTCCCTTATTGCCCCTGCTGATCTCTCTCTCTCTCTCTCTCTCTCTCTC